TTGTCACGAAATATGGGCGCGTGAAGGACTCTTGATACAACTTCAGACCAACGTAAAATTGCCATGTGGCACTCCTAATTTGACTTATTTTGAGAGAAAAAACATAAAAAACTCATGTATTAATTTTTTACAACTTTTTTTTTCAAATATTTTTCTCATCTTCCCTACCATCATTAACTTACACATATTTTTTGGAGCATCCATGTCTTCCTTCATTTTTTTTCTTTTTTATTTTTTCTTTTTCCTTTCTACTCATTGTTTTTTCTAAACTAATGTTATGTGTTCATTCTTATTCTTCTTCTTTTTTTGAAAAACAAAAATTAGTTCAGTGATTTTTTTCCTCCTACAATACAAGATTGAGATTTGGGAGTAGTGAAACTATGGGAAACTCGATTTGGGAGTAAGGAGTGGGAGAATGTGGTGATTTAAATTTTAGATTTTAACTTGGTGATATTTTGAGTATTTATATTTTGATTATTTGAAGGTGTTTATTTTCATAAATAAATCAATTGGTGGTAGTTTGACAAATAATTGGTAGTGCTGCCGCAAAATCGGTCATGCCACAACGGGATTGACGACTGTTGCAGCGACGATGAAGGAAATGGCTAAGCAGAAGAACAGAAATTGAGGCAAAGAAGAAAGGAAAACAGAAAAAGAAAAGCAAAGAAATCAAATAAAAATAATTAAAAATTACTTTTAACACGTGGCAAGAGACTGTTAGTGCGTGACTTACAAATATTTTTGTATAAGTGGTATTGACTGAAAATGGGGTATACATACTATTTTAAAGTTGTTCAATGGGGTAATAGGACACCCGCAAAGTTAAAGTGTCTTCTTAAAAATTCGTGACAACTTCAATGGTGATTTTATGTCTTTTCTCTAATATATACTCGTATAATAGAGTATTATGACATCGATAATTAAAAAAGGGTCTCTATTGTATCATACTAAAACATTACAAATGTAGAAATATATATCCAAAATAAAGTACAAACAACTCCTTTTGTTAATCAATTAAATTTCAACTACATTTTAATCAAAATAGAGTAGTCAAAGTTTCAACTTCTAAACATTTAGTTTATACTAATATGAGGTTGCATACTTGTTAGTATTTAGTAATACATATATATATATATATGTTATTTATTAAAATATATACTTCGGTATGATATTCGGTATTTCGGTATGTTATTTCTAGATACTAAATACCGTACCAAATACCAAAAAAATTAAAATGTATATCATATGTCATACCAAATACCACAATACTAAAATCGCGGTATTAAATTTTTGGTATGGTATGATAATTTGGTATATACCATACCATGCTCACCCCTAGATTCAAGTACACATTAATGTCATCAAAGCATTTCATCAATCAACCAAATAGGGTCCACAATAAGGCAATTCACAAAGCATTATGATCAACATGTTGCCTTTTCATTAATCTATTTTTTATTTATTAAGGTTAATCAAGTGGAACAACGAACCCATCACCTCATTCTCATTCTTCCTCAATATACACAATGAAGGGAAATACACGATTTTACTAGATTTACAAGGTTAAGGAGATTACTTGCTTCAATTCAATCAATTAGTCAATTCAAGACTTGAATCTTCCCTTTCCAGACAATGTCTAAAACCATACAATCTAATTCAATCAAGTAATCACAATGAGATTTTGATAATAACAATACCCATATAAAAAAACACTTTGAAAAATGGGTCAATCAACTCAAAAACCCAATTCCAAAAAATCTTAAATATTATCCAAGGCATTTGAAACTCATTGATGAAAACCATTTCGAAAAAGGACTTAAAATCATATCACAATCACCAGTTTAGTTTAGAACTCAAGTTCTTGAAAAACCTTGCCATTTGCCAATTAAAATCTCAAGTTTTGATATTAAAATTCATAAATGATTAGTGAAAAATGAAGTTTTAGGGTCACAAAAGCTTATCCAAATGATTTAGCAAAAGGAATCTCTTTGAAATTCCTGACCGGGTTGGTTCGGGTTTTTCAAATATCAAACCAAACCATTTGTGTCAGATTTTTAAATCTATAAACCAAACCAAACCAATAAAACTCGGATTTTTTTGGGTTTTTTGGATTTTCAGGTTTTTTCGAGTTTTTCCGGTAAAGTATTCATACAAACATATAATTTACTTGTACTTCAAATATTTCTTTAGTCCTACCAAAATACAACTATCTAAGATGTTTCTTAAGAAAATAACACAAAATATGATATGAGTAATGAACACGAAAATATACCAACAAAAAATAATAATAAATGAAATCACGTAAAACAATATTGCAAATTAGCAAGTCATAATGAAAATGATCAATAATTTAAAAGTACTAAATCATGCTAAAATAAGTTTAATAAGTACTTAGTTACATGACTAAATAAGAAAGGAAATTAAAATTAGATTATGTATTTGAATTGTCTAAACCAATGTAAATCCAAAGAACAAATATTCAATATTATTGTTATTCTTAGTGTTGAATTGATTTTCATTTTGCATTAGTATTAATTTGATTTTGATTGATGTAGGAAAATAGACAGCTTCTACCTGATAGTGGCTTTCTGCAAACAACACTAAATCCTCTCTCCACTTTTTATCAAACGGCAGTCTAACGGTAACAATCACGACCACTAACGGTCGGAATCGGGAGCTCCGATCGTCGAAGCTCCTCATGGGAACTCAGAAGAACTCAGGAAACATGTTTCGAACCCCCCTAACCCCCCCAATTTCCGACAAACAGATTCCCCCCCTTTGAACAAACTCAACATAGCTTCTCCTCTAAGTACCCTAAACGGCAAATCAGATTCGATCAACTTTGCAGCAGCTCTGGGAAGATATGGAGGCAGTGGATCAAGAAGGAAGATTCGTCTTCCTCATAGATCCTATGACCTGAAAGAAGGAAACCCAATTGTAACTTTCTCGAAGGAGGAAAATGATATGTTGGCTGAAACCTGCAAGCTTACCCTTATAGGTAAGTTTACAAGGATTCGACCATCAATTAAGAAAATAAGAAACGATTTCAAGAAAAATATTCAACTTAAAGGCTCAGTTAAGATAGGAGCCTACAACTTGCATCATGTTTTCTTGGATTTCGACCTAGAGGAGGACCATAGAAATATATATGGGAAAAATTTTCTCACCCTCTGTAATCTCCAAACGAAATTATTGAAATGGACATCTGATTTTGTTCCGGAGGCTGAAACCACCTTAGCTCCCGTCTGGATTAACCTGCCAAACCTGAGATGGCACTTCTTCGAATGGGATGCACTCTGTAGAATTGTTGCTCCGATTGGGGTCCCAATTATCTCGGATAAAGCCACTCTCTCCAAAACTAGACCAACCACAGCAAAAATCAAGATGGAAATTGATATCACAAAGGCTCAAATTGCTGAAATCTAAATTGTGATAAAAAATGAGAATGGAGAGCTGGAGTCTATCAAACAAAGAGTGGAATATGAAAACGTCCCAGAGTACTGCAGCTACTGCAAGGCCCAAGGTCACAATGACACCAACTGCAGAATCCTTCACCCTGAGCTTAGAGGTAACAACAATGGTGAAGAAGGAGAGAATGTGAATATACTAAAATCCCAACAAAAGACAAAGGAGAATCTTCATGAAACTAATGAGCCTCCTGTACAATTTAACAAAGGAGGAACATCTGCAACCATGAAAAAAGATGAAGATAGGGGAACAAAGTGTCACACAAAGGATGATGAAGGGTGGACAACAGTGACTAAAGGAAAAGGAAATAAATAGACGTCGGGGGAAAATAATCAGGGGGGACAGATTGGTTTAGAATCTAGCAACCAAGTTGACCTCCCAAGAAATGGGAAGGAAGATAAGGTTCTGGACAACATTCAGGAACAACCTAAGATATTCGGTATCACCTTCAAAGCTCAAGAAATAAACAAGACTGAAACAGCTAGAGGAAAGAGGAAAGTCAGTGCCACACCAAAGATGACATAAGAAAATCCTTCTTTAAGAAAAGCTAGAGTGCAAAAGAAAGCTACTGAAACCAACAACCAGAAATATGAAAGGAGAACAAGAAGCAGGAAAGGAAATCAGGAAGAAGGGAACAAAGATACTAACCAACAAATGGACATTCATAAAGCCAACAAAAATGATGGTTACAAAGAGGAAAAGGCCCAAACTAAGGACAAAGATCCCCTTCAGACTACTAACAGGATCGACAAAGAGGTGGAGGAATCCCTAGACCGAATCGACCGAGGTAAAGAGAAAAACAAATATCTAAAGGAAAAAAATGAGCCAGAAACAACTAGCAAAATGAAGGATGACTATAACCACTATGAGTCAGCTTCAGAGGAGGAAATGGAAGAGGACCACTTCCATGACATTCAAGACAATTAGATGGAGAAAGACCCCGAAAATCTCATTGGAGAAACTCAGGGAGAACTTCCTATCTCAAATACTAGCAGTTCAATTGACTCTAATCTTGTTACTGTCCCTATTAAACTAATCACCAAAGGAACAACCTTAATTGATAAGGACTGTTACATGGTGGATGTAGTTAACAAAAAACAAATGCATATGCATAGTTCCACTCTTAATAGTTCCCAATGATTAACACATTATCTTGGAATATTAGGAGTGTCAAAACTCTAAGCGCATTCGATAGGCTCAAAATAATCAAAAATCAAAATAACATCTCCCTCATTAGCCTCCAAGAACCCTTTGTCAATGCTGATCATATAACTCATTATATGAGAATGCTAGACATGCAAGGCTCCTATGCTAATGTCAATAATAAAATTTGGTTTTTCTGGACAAATGATTTCAATATTAATATCCTTCATGACACCACTCAACATGTCACCTATTATGCTAATCATGTTAACTCAGAAGCTAAGTTTCACTTGACTCTAGTTTATGCTAAATGCAGGACATTTCTGAGAAGAACACTTTGGGAGGACCTAGTATCTGTCTCTAACAACATACAAGGCCCATGGAGTATAATGGGGGACTTCAATGTTATTGCCAAAGTGGAGGAAAAGCTCGGCGGAACTCCTTATAGGCTGGAGAAGAGCTTTGACTTCCTTAATTTCATGGAAGACACAGGGGTTCAAGATGCAGGTTTTGTAGGAAATATTTACACCTGGTGCAACAACAGAGGTGCTCCAGACACAATATGGAAGAGACTTGACAGAATGTTATACAACTCTGAATGGTTTGTTTTATTCAATAGAACCACTGTCACTCATCTGGCTATATCAGGTTCCGATCATGCCCCTCTTCTAATCCAGTTCACTAATACAGAAAAGGTGTTTACCAAATATTTCAAGTTCCTTAATGCTTGGACAGACCACCCTCAATTCTTGGAAGTCATGGGAAAGATATGGAGCTTTGAATGCCAAGGGAACCCAATGTGGATACTACACCAAAAGCTTAAAAGGACTGGCAGCCTTTTAAGTACTTGGTCTAAAGACACCTATGGAGACATTTTCGAAGTCCCTAAGAGGTTGGAGCAAGAGATCAACAATCTTGAACTTGCTCTCCAGAACAACAACTCTCCATCCATAAGAGCAAGTCTCAGTAAGAAAAAGGTTGAGTATGTGTTCTACTTGAAAACTCAGGCCAACATCCTAAGGCAGAAATCCAGAGTGAGGTGGCTAGTGGACGGAGACACCAACACTTCATACTTCCATAAAACCATCACAGACAAAAGAAGGAGAATTGGAATTAATAAGATCATGGATGAAGACCATGAATGGGTGGAAGGTAATGAAAAGGTTGCAGAGGCAGGGGTTAAATACTTTAAAGGAATATTCAGCCATATTCCTGAGTATAATGACTTCCAAGACCTAGAGTGTATCAACACAACTATCACCAATGAGATCAACAGAGACCTGATTGAGCTTCCAACTGAAGAGGAGATCAGAAATAACCTCATGACCATGGATTCTGATAGTGCCCCTAGGCATGATGGATTCACAGCTAAGCTTTTTCAAACCTGTTGGGAGTGGTAGCCCCCGAGGTTACTAAGGCTTTACAATCTTTCTTTTGTGGTGCTAATCTCCCTAAATGGCTTACCCATACTAATATTGTCATGATTCCTAAAGTTGATCACCCTCAACATTCTCTGACATGAGACCTATTAGTCTTTGCAATGTAATCAGTAAAATCCTCTCTAAAGTGCTTAACTCTAGACTCAACAAGATTCTCACATCCCTGATCAGTAAGAACCAAAGTGATTTCATTAAAGGTAGATCTATTACTGAAAATATTCTCCTTGCTCAAGAGATCATCCAGGACCTAGACTCTCTAAATGTGGGAGGAAATGTTGTGCTTAAGCTTGACATGACGAAAGCTTTTGATAGAGTTTCTTGGCCTTTTCTTTGTATCCTTATGAGAAAAATGGGCTTTTGTGAAATATGGATTGACATGGTCTTTAGGCACATCTCTAGTAATTGGTACTCTTTAATTGTTAATGGCAATAGACATGATTTTTTCCAATCCAAGAGGGGCTTAAGGCAGGGAGATCCTATTTCTCCAGCTTTGTTTGTGATTAGTGCTGAATATCTCTCCTTAAAACTCAACGAATTGAACAACAATACTGATTTCTCTAGCTTTAGCATGAACAAAAAGGGGCCTAGGATTAACCACTTAGCATTTGCTAATGATGTCATTTTATTTTCCAGTGGTTGTAGGAGATCTCTGGATCTGCTGATGGAGACACTCAACAACTATGAAAGAGTATCTGGACAGAAGATCAACAAATCAAAGTCCAGTGTCTCACTTTCCAGCAAAGAAAATGAGCAAGCTAGACAAAGAGTTCAAGAAATAACTGGAATGACTTACAGAAGTCTACCAATCAAATACCTGGGTTGCCCTTTGTATGAAGGAAGGAAAGATTATGCTTTGTTCTCAGAGATGATGAGCAAAATTCTTCACAAAATTGGGGGCTGGCAAAACAAATTCCTCTCAATAGGAGGAAGAGTTGTTCTTATTAAACATGTCCTAATGTCACTTTCAGTTCACTCATTTGCAGCAATCCATCCACCTATTGGGGTTCTCAATCAAATGGAAAAAATGCTTAACAGATTCCTATGGGGTGGAAGCAGTGAGAAAACAAAAATGCACTGGGCATCTTGGGAATCCATGTGCTATCCTTGGGATGAAGGTGGTGCCTCCTTTAGAAGACTTCAAGATAACTGCAAGGCTTTCACTGTGAAACAATGGTGGTCACTGAGGACTACAAATTCACTGTGGAAAGAGTTTCTGATGGCCAAATATTGTTTAAGAATCCACCCTGTTATTAAGAGATGGTACTCAGGAAATTCTCACTCCTGGAATGCCATGTACAAAATCAAAAGTACTGTGGATCAACACATTCTCTGGAAGATAGGTAGAGGAAATGTATCAATTTGGCAAGACAACTGGACAGGATTTGGAGCTCTTTGGCAATTTTTCCATAAAGACAGAAAGCCAAGAGAACAAAAACTGTCAGAGCTTTACATCAATGGCCAGTGGCATTGGAGGGGGTGGGACATCTTCCTACCTTCCATAGTGATAGATCACATTCATGATATGCAGATAAACTTGAATCTGGCACTAGATGACAGACCTATATGGACTCCGGAACAAAATGGAAAATTCACAGTGTCCTCAGCCTGGCAGATGCTGAGGCAGAAGAAGATTGGGAACTGGTTGGATGAGAAAAATTGGCATAAAAAAGTTCCCCTCAAGATGAACTTCATGTTGTGGAGAGTTCTAAGAGATAAAATCCCTATGAACTCTAGACTCTCAAAAATGGGAATATCTATTGCCTCGATATGCTGTTGTTGCAGAATACCTCAAGAAGAGGACATTGAACAGTTCAGCTGCTCTGGAGATTTTGCTAAAAGGATTTGGTCAACCTTATGTGGTCCTGTGGGCATTCCATGTGTTAACGTCCCATTTAGACTCTTGATCAAATATTGGTGAACATGGAAAACTAAAAATCCAGTCCTTGATATGATCAAGAAATGCCTACCAGCCATAACTATATGGGAACTCTGGAAGACTAGATGTGATGCTAAATATGGTAAAGAGTTCTACAATACAAGGAAAACCATCAACAATATTTCTAGCACTCTTGCTGGGCTTTTGAAAAACCAGTTCAAGTTGATTAATGTAGATCCAAATTGGGATTCCATTGTCTGTCTGATGAAAAGTAGATCAACGCCACAAACTTCATTCAAGTTAAGTGGTTGAAGCCATCCATCAGCTTTGTGAAAATTAACTCGGATGGTAGCTGCAAGGATGGTTATTGTGGAGGTGGGGGAGTGATCAGAGATCACTCAGGCTCACTAGTTTTTGCCTACTCTTTGAACCTTGGCCAAGGAACTAGCAACTGGGCAGAGGCAAAAGCCTTGTTGTATGGAGTTCAATGGTGCATAAGTAGTGGACATGAATTCATTTTAGCAGAGAGCGATTCTAGGTTGCTGGTGGATTGTGTGAACAACTCGAGTGTCACCCCTTGGAGAATACTGGAAGAAGTAAATGAGCTGAAAAATCACATGGAAACTACGGGTTTCATCTTAAACCACTGTTACAGGGAGGCGAATCAGGCAGCTGATGCACTAGCCTCCACGAGCTTTTCGAGCCCTGGCAACATACTCTACGAATATTTTGAAGAACTCCCTGCTAAAGTGAAGGGACTCATGACCATGGACAGATGGGGAGTGACTAGTTTCAGAACCAGGCAAAAGAAGAAGCAAGATTTAATCTGGGATCCTCCATGATGGACCTTGGGATGTTTAGACTTGTAACTTTTTGCACGCAGGCTTTGTACTTAGAAAGCCATTGTCTAAACTGTCTTTTGTATTTATTTCATCTCATACAGGATCTTGGTATCCTTCATGCTAGGGAGGAGTAATTCACTGATTGTAACCTCCTACAGATCAACATGTACTTTTTGATGGAAGATGAATAAATTGCAATATTTCGGGAAAAAAAATTGATTTTGATTTAAGCTTTATTATAATTACAAACATATGTGGACTATAATCTTTATTGAACCATTCAGAATTCTAAGTTTCAAACTTGAAATAATATATTAAAAGATAAAAACTATGAAAAAGTATAAGAAATATTTAAAAATTATATCAAAGTAAATATTTTTATGTATAAAATAAAATTTTAAAATTATATATATAATTTCAGGTTGGTTTGGTCTCAGGTTGATTTTTTTTAGTTAAAACCAAACCAACCCAAATACAGTCGATTTTTTTTTTCAATACCAAATCAAGTCAAACCAACCACTAGTCGAGTTTTTTTCTCGGTTTGCGGTTTGGTTCAGTTTTCGATTCAGTTTTGTACACCCCTACCTCCAAGGGTTTTACAAAGGTCAAAAAAGGAAAATAGGACTTAAACCCCAAATTTTTTGCTTAAAACCTCTCTCAGATGTCGCAAAAGCGAACTCAGGTTCGCTTAAGTGAACATCACTAAAGAGAACCATAAGTTCGCTTTTGCGTACCCTGCAAAAGTGGCACCTATCACAAAAGCGAAGGCTCCTTTGCTTTTGCGAAGTTCGCTTATGTGAACAAGTCTTCGCAAAAGCGAAGCCTGCAGACACCAGTAAAACACAATAAAAGACAAATCATCAAATAGACCCTTGAGATTCATACGGAATCTGTACACTCAAACCATATATGCAAATTGACTAAACTCAACATTCCGGACACAATGAAACCGCCAAATTACGAATTTGAGGTCTCCTTTACCTGACATCCGTGAAAGTCACAAGAAACTAACATAACGCCTAAAAAGACCAAAACAAGCTTGGGACCTCTGAAAAATCAACCAAGACCTCACTTAGGCCTACAATCATCCCCTGAATCCAACAGAACTTTCGAAATTCCAATCCGAGCATCCGAACCCCCAATGTTGATCAAAGTCAATCCAAATGCTAAAATTTCACAAATTTTCAACTTAGGACCTCAAATCCTCAAAAAGACTCCGAATCTAAAACCGACAACTCTCATAGACCGATTTCCACATTCCAGGATTGCTGAAATCGATGAAATTTCATTCCGACACTCGAAACTCCAAAAAACACTGAAAACCCACTTTTTAACAACTTTAGTCTTTCAAACTCAAAACGAACAAAAATTCACAACTTTTTACTCAATGTTCGAACCCGACTTTCACAACTCAAACAGAAATAACTCGGGGTCAATATCGAGAGAGGCAAAATGGTTATTTTATGAAAATTTCCAAAAATGACCCACCGGATCATTATAGTTAAGGAATCCTATTATGTTTCCTATTTTAGCTATTTATGAAATTTTCCCAAAATCTAATTCATAAAGTTTTGTTCTTCGGTGCACTAAAGAATTGTTATCCTCAAATATTTTTTTCTTTACTTGTATATATTATTGATGGAAGGGCAAACGTCCCTTTTAAAACCTGTTTTGGCTTTCATTTATTATAGAACTCATCATAAATTACAATTAGCTAGTTACCATGCTTTAAGTATATTATGTTTGATTGAAAGAGGTTTAATAGCATATTCAAAATATTTTTTTTTTTTTTTTTATGTTTCTCATTTTGTTCAATAGTATTTGACTAAAAATTAGATCGAATTATATAAAACAAAATTTTATTTGATGACCGTATATTACTTATGAAACAAAATTCTTGTAAATTGAATCAAGTTAGTCCAAAATGGATTGGACTAATTGAATGTGCTCTTTAATTCGATGTCAATTACATTTTGAACTAATTGAATGTGCGTCCTAATTCGATGTCAATCCCTACTGATGAATTTGTATTAAAGTCAATAGATCCGTGTATACCTAATACCATTCACTTTGCAATTTAATTTGTTTATAATTATAAAATGTTTCATTCATTGGTGAGTTCCTAAAGATTCTATCGGGGTTCGTGGAAGGCAATAATATAGAAATTAGAAGTTAATGGTCAACTGGTCTTGGATTCAATTAATTGACAAGAATAATATAAAAACACATATAATATAGTAATA